CACACACACTCACAATATGCATTTATGCTTTCTGCGTCAACGTGATCACCTCTAAGACAAGCTAAGCAGTCGGTGGTCGGTTGTTTGGAGTGCCTGCAGGACTAGAAGGGGGCCGCTCCGTCTGCGATGTCTATGATGCATGTGGTCTATCGGTAGTTGTCTGGTAGATGTCCATCAGAATGCCTTCCTGGCTAAGCAGGTGGTGGAAACCAACAGTCTGCGGGGTTCTACTTGTGGTGTGAGTAGGTCATGGATAGCAGGCCGTGGCTGACTTGGCTTGGTGTCAGATGTGTGCACTGGCTTGTCTATGCTCCGTGGCTACCTTGCTGGCTCCTTGCTCCTCATGGCTTTTTCTGCAGCTGGTGTGTTGCTGTAGAGTTTGGATGTGAACAGTCTGTGGGGTTCTACTTGTGGTGTGAGTAGGTCATGGATAGCAGGCCGTGGCTGACTTGGCTTGGTGTCAGATGTGTGCACTGGCTTGTCTATGCTCCGCGGCTACCTTGCTGGCTCCTTGCTCCTCATGGCTTTTTCTGCAGCTGGTGTGTTGCTGTGGAGTTTCGATGTGTTGTTGGCCTTGCGCTTCACTGCACTGTTGCCTTCACAAATGCCCATCCATGTGTTTTATCTTCCTATGCACTTTGCTTGTATGCCGTGTGGTTTGGCTGTTTGGCAGCATCGGTTGCGTCGCTGTGTGCTTCACTATTTCGTTGCCATGCCGCTCATCCGCTTACACGGTCACTCAATGCAGTTAGCTTTTCCACTCCACTGCGATATATGCTTCCCATTTCCCTCCCCGTTTGTCATGTGTATGTGGCTATGGCTGTCTGTGCGGCTCTATGATGGATGTGCAATTTTGCAGGAACTAACCCCTCTGATCAGCCGGAGAAGTGGCAACAGCGAAAAAACTGTTGAGGGGATGCCGAATATACGTCCATGGTGTTTCTTTTTTTACGTTTTTTTTTTCTTTGCCCAAAGGAGAGTACGTCCATGGTAGTAGACGATCTGCCACGCGTTTTCTTCTATCCCAGACGTTCTGCCTAGCCAAAGTGCACTTGCTATCTAGCTACGCTCATACTATTTAATTGACTATATAAATAAAATTATATCAAATAAATGAGATAAATATAGGTAGGTTCAATTTTTTTGAGAGTAAAATAGACTAGAGTAAAATACACTGTATTTGGAATGTTGTTTATTTGTTAATAGATGCTAATAGTCAGACTTCAAACCAATTATTTCCATGTTTTAATTAACAATTATTTGAAAGAAATATATAGTTTTACTAGAAAAATATTCAATTGCGTGTAAACAGGCAAAATATTAGCCCGAACGCTGAACCCTACAATCAATCTCCCTTCCCAAAGGTAGGATAATCGTGTAATGCATGTCTGAGTCCGAAGCCAAAAATGTGAATTCAAATCGGTCGTCAAACGGTCATTTTAGAGCCTCGTAAGGCAGCATGGATGGGTGGCGGTCTGAAACGGTGCGTGATGGGTTATGGCTGAACCTGGTGTACCACTGTAATGGTGGGGTACGTGGCATATGCGCCATGAGGTAATATTGACACACACACACACACACACACAAACTTATTATTTCCCACAATACTTGCTGATGTGCCCTCCTCTTTTTCATTTTGATATTCTCCTCAGTCCTCGTATCGAGGGATAGTTCGGACAATGCTATTTGTACTTGTCACAGCGACAATCCTCTCCTTTTCCGTTTTGCATCTTTTTACGGTCTGTGCTCAGCATTGCACGCGATGAGATACTGCCATCATCGCGGCATTATCAATGTACTGCATGCTGAAATATC